AATATTACAGTAATATTTCTGCTACATCTCATTATAATATTACAATGGAAATGTGATATTACTGTGATATTACTGTAATATTACGTGCTATGTGGGTGGGTAGTTATTTAGTTACCCAATGAGCAAACAATTTTTAAAAAAACATTTTCAAAAAATTTTAAGACATTTTTAAAACGTTAAAAATAATGGGATAAGTTCTCTTTTTCATTAAAATAATGTTTTTTAACGTTTGGAAGATTTTGTTTTTTAATATTTAATAAACATTTCTTTTGACATTTTTTTGACAAAAACGTTTTTCTAAATGTTAACATTTAACATTTAAAAATATTTTCAAAATAAACGTTTATTAAATATTAAAAATCAAAACATTTTTCCAAACGTGAAAAAACATTAAAAAACGTTTTTTTAATGAAAAAAAGAAAATAACTTATGAGAACTTATGAAATTATATTATTTTTAACGTTTTAGAAATGTTTCTTCAAATGTTTTTTAAATTGTAATGTTTTGTAATGTCAACACCTAGGTAAACATATTTTACATAAATATTTTATGCATACATCTCTGACTTCTCTTTTATTTTATTATATATGAAATATTTAAACTATGAATAGTTTATTTTGTAATTGTACTAAATAATATTATAAGAAAATTATAATTAGTACTTCGGCTGCGCGCGCGCATAAAACAAGAATTCACAACGTAACTTTATTATACTGATTTATAGGTTATTCGTTTGACACACCAGCTGATTGCAACGTTGCCGCATTTCCACAGTCCATCCTGGTAAAAAAGATGATAGAAAACGATAGAATAAAATTCTATCATTCTATTGTTTTCTATCGTTTTGAATATGGATTTTTGTTCGTGAATTCACAAATGTAAATAGTATTCTATCGTATACGATAGAATATAATAGATAGTAATAGAATTTCTATCGTTAATTTTGATTTCTATCGTTGATTTTTCCGTTTAGGGCTTACACTTATTTAAGATTTTTGTTTAAGGTTAACCATCGTTTATCGTGAATTCACAAATGTAAATAGTATTCTATCGTATACGATAGAATATAATAGATAGTAATAGAATTTCTATCGTTAATTTCTTATAGAATACGAAATCATTTATAATCAGATAAAATATGATAAAATACGATTGGATTTATATCTGAACTTGCGTGCGAGAACGATACAGCTTAAAGAAAACGATTCAAATTGATAGTGCTATCGTTCTCGCACGCAAGTTCAGATATAAATCCTATCGTATTTTATCATATTTTATTTGGTTATAAACGATTTCGTATTCTATAGGAAACTAACAATATAAATTCTATCACTATCTATTGTATTCTATTGTATACGAAGAAATACTATTCACATTTGAAAGAAAGAATACTATTCACATTTGTGAATTCACGAACCAAAATCCATATTCAAAATGATAGAAAATGATAGAACGATAGAATTTTATTCTATTGTTCTCTATCAACTATTTTTACCAGGACAGTTACTAACTCCTTACGATAATCGCAAAATTATCACAAATAAAAATAAATTCCTCTGAAACCTTGTTATGAAAACTAATCAAATTCTGTAAATAGTTCTGATAATTCAGGATCTGTATGTATAAAAATACTTAAATTTTTAGTATTATTTTTTCTATACGTTTTTACTCATTAGATTCGGAAAAGTTGCTTTTGCCATAAGAACGTATAAAATTAACATAATAATAATTACATAATAATTACTCTTCAACGGTTTAGTGAATCGACTTTAAATTTTTTTCAGTATATTATAGATAATTAAGAAAAAGTTACCTAAAGTTTTATTAAATTGGTACTATTTTTATATAGCTCAGATACATTCTTAAAGAGATTGTAATAAATACAGATTTAACAAATACTTTTATAGAGTAAGGCCCTCTCTGTAATAATTGTCATATAATTGATATAAAATTACAGTAATCCAAAAAAATATACTGGAGACGTATAATTATTTCTTATCGACACAGATTTAAAAAGATTATGCAGCCTAAATGGTAGACTAGGAACCTGGAGGCGTCTGAGGTGTCGAGTTCGCGACCGACCAGTATTGAGTAAATTTTCAGGTGTGAAAATAGTGAGAAATAAAATAAAAGAGCTAAATTTCATTTAAAATCAACATAAGCTGACTAGTTGCAATCGTTTCTGCAAGATATATTTTTCCGTTTAGGGCTTACACTTATTTAAGATTTTTGTTTAAGGTTAACCATCATTTCGGTGTTGACCGTCAATTGACGATCCGAATTTACACAAAACATTTGAGGGTTTTTTCGAGGGTATTTTTAGACCAAAAATTGGTTTTTTTCGTAAAGGCCACTTTGGCTACTGCGCTATTTCTTCAACTGATTTTTTTATTATCTAACTAACGACTAACTTTTTTATTATGTTTTGTCTGCATTGTTTTATGCAGAGGACAAGAATACATAATTAAATAATTAAATAAGAATTAAACAAGAATTAAATAATTTCGATGAACAATAGGATAAGTGTGAAATTTGAGACTTTTATTGTTTCATCTAACCTGCCTGCACAATGCATTACTGCCAACGTACAAGCTATAAACTACATGATACGCTATTGCTACATTTAACTTTTTTCATTAAATATTTATAATAACAACAAGTAATATTGATAGTTATTGTTCAGACAATGCATATTTACCTGTTTTAACTTATCTCAATTACTTTTTCTGCTTTGCACTGATGGATATTGATGTTAACTAATACGAAATTTAATGTTCTAATGTTGAATTTAAGGCATTTTCCCTGCCAAAAGTTTTATTATAGAAAGTTAGAAAAAAACAAATAAAAGTAATAAACTGTTGAGAAAGTAAAAAATAACTTTTTAAATAAGAAATATATTATGTTAACCACTATTTATATCACTTATTACTAGATTTACAACACGTTTGAAGTAGATATTCAAATTATCGTTTTTCAAGCACTTTTGTCACCGATTGTACCTCAGATACATCCTTAAGATAACTTTAATTCTTGCACATTTTAATTCTATAGTTTCTTTTTCCAAAAATTTCCTTTTTTTATTTATTTATAATAACGTCAAAAAAAACGAAAACCACACATAAATAAATAAAAACATAATATATAACAAAGTTAATATATTCTTCAAATAAATTAATTTCAAATAATAGTATTTAAAAAAAATAATATTAAAAAATTATTTTAAATAATATTGATATTTTAAATAATATTATTTCAAATAATATTGATCCAGTATGTATCGTTCAATTAAAAATAGAAAGTAAAAATAAAAATCGTAACAAAAAATAAAATTACTTAACTTCCTAGATCACATTAATATGATGAAGAATACTAAAAATTAACCAGCATATAATTTAAGTAAAAAAAACAATTTACACAAAAAACTATTTCTTCTGATAATTAAAAAACTGGGTTTTTTAAAGTATAGCATGGAAATATATCATTATATATGATTACATAATTACATATGATTAATTATTAATTGTTATACAAAATTCATGTATATTTACTTTTTTCTTGGGCAGTGATAAGAATTTTCCAGATTAATCGATAAGACTGTTCTTTTTCCAAGAATTTTTAAATTGGTATACACTAATACAATAAGTTAAAAAACAAAATATAGTTTTTTGTTCACTTTAACTTATTATACTAGTGTATAACAATTCAGGAAATTTTTATATAATAATATAATCGATATACTAGTATATGTGAACATATATACTAGTATAACATATATGAATTTCCAAGTCACATTTTAAATAGCATGAAGCAATTTTTATGTTCTTATTATATATTAAAATTTCTCAAAAATACAAATAATAATATATACATGTTAGATATATGACTTTATAATTCATAGACAAATATTATCATTTTTATAAAATAAAAAATAACCTAGCCTATTGATAATTATCAGTAAAAAAAGCTAATATACATATAACTAATATATATTTAAGATATAAAGTAAACGAACCTATTTCGGAACAGCACCTATTTCGGAACAGCACCTATTTCGAAACATTTTAATTTATTTTCCTGTATTTCCTCAAATAATATCAAATTTTCGTAACAAATGTTAGTAACAAAGAACATGTTCTAACTACTAACTACTAATGTTGTAACTACTAACATGAAAATTTGATATTATTTGACGGCTAATACAAGAAATAAATTAAAGTGTTTCGAAATAGGTACTGTTCCGAAATAGGTTACTATATCTTCCATAATTATTCTTGGTAATAAAAGTTGATAGAGAACGATTAAGAACGATAGAATTTCTATCAATTTGTATTGTTTTCTATAAGCTCTATCGTTCGCAAGCGTCAGCGAGCATCAGATATAAATCCTATCTGGTTCAGATATAAATTTTATCTAGTTCTATAAGAATCGGGTTCTATTTGTATTATATAGGAAACTGACGATAGAAATTCTATCACTATCTATTGTATTTTATCGTATACGATAGAATACTATTCACATTTGTGAATTCACGAACCAAAATCCATATTCAAAACGATAGAAAACGATAGAATGATAGAATTTTATTCTATCGTTCTCTATAAACTCTTTTTTACCAGAGATATCACATCGTATATTTAAGTTATATAGCAGCAACTGAATGTGTCGACTAGGTTAATTGTTTTCCACGTAAAAGATAACTTTATTACTTGTCGCAAATAGCAATTAATTTATGATGGCTATTATTTGCAATAAATAAATTTATAACGTAATTAAACGTTTATAACGTAACGTAAAAAGCTGGCTGTGTCCCGATTCTGATCAATTCGAGCACACCACACACACATATAACCGTGGCCGCATACGGTGTGCCACGCACACGTATGTACTCGCCGATCATCTACATGTGACTGATATAACCTAAATATGTGATCGCACTTTAGACGCTCAAAAACGTAGCATTTTGATAGCTGCCCTCTTTACACATTTAGAATAGAACTCACCCTTAGCATGAATGTTGTTTCTGCTGTGAACTCGTGAATTTCCTCGTAAACGAGACTCGCGCAGTATCCTCGCGATATTGAGCCTTCCACGACGAGGTTTCCGTCAAAAAGAACTAATCACTAATTCTCGTTCCCGCGTCTGAAAGACGAGCGTCGAGACGGTCGCGTCGCGTCGTCCGACCCTCGATGAGATCTCTTGAAATCTTCCGCTCGTTATCGCGCATCATGTCAGGACGTTTCTCTCCGTCGCGATTGACGTCGATCGGAGACGCGGTACGGCGACACGGCGCTCGTTTTCAAGACGCGGGAACGCGAAGATGAATTGTTAACTGCTAGCGTGCGCTGCAAGCGTCGCAAGCACCGACGTCTCCTCACGACATTAGATCGGCCGGGACGCGCGCGCGGCGCGGCGTCCGGAGCGTCTGGAGCGCGGCACAACGGGAAGCCTGAAGGGGTTACCGCACTGTCTGTTGCCTGGGCAACAGACGGCCGGTCCCGAAGGTGAATGCCCTTAGCCACTAACCCGCCGCGTCAGGTCTCTCTACCGGGCACACGTACTGGCGGTACGCTCGTTTCAGATTCGGAGATCACGAACTTTTTCTTCTTTCCTTTTCTAGTATCTGATATCAAATACATATCTTCGTACTCTGCTTAAAAAATCCGGTAAAGGTTGATAGAAATATATACAAATTTCGTTAAAATACTATGTCTTTATCTGAAATTATAATTTTCTCTATCAAAAATTTAAATTTCTATCTAGCTCATATAAAAAAGTTATCAATTTCTTTCGTTTTATATCATAAAACAATTTTGCTTTTAATGATTAAGTATTTTTACCTGAATATATACACTTTTTTATATAATTTTATCATTTTCTACTAAAAATACGATTTAGTTACACAGATTTTTCTTAAGTTATTTTATTAAATCTTTTAAGTTAACTTTTTGGACCAAGAATATGTTTTAATTATCTATTTCCATCTGCGACGCTAAGTACTGCACTGTATATTTCGATTTTATGCTACATCTATGAAACAATACTACATTTACAGCAAGATTTATAATATAAACTTTCAAATATTTGTATTCATAGATTCTCAATATGGAACACGATACTTGGATCATCGTTGTTAACGATGCCGTGGGGAATCGCAATGGCTGGATTCTTTCCTGGGATCATCATTATACTAATGATGAGTGGTTTATGTCTGTACACTGCTTATCGTCTTATAGCCGCACACGAGTATCACGGTAAGATGAGTTTTCCTGTGTGGTATAAATATATATTGCGCGCGCGATATTTGCAGTATATAATATTATAAAATTAATTATCGTTCTAGTTCATGAAGGGGGAGGAGAAAATATAGAAGTCCTAGATTTGAGCCGAATATATCTTAATAAATGGGCAGAATATATTGCCAGAATTTTTAGTATTGCTGTATTGATGGGCGCAACTATAGCTTACTGGATATTGATGGCTAATTTCCTGTATAATAGCGTTAATTTTATTTATGGTAAGGACTCTTGTGTTCTAGAATAAACATAAAAACGTACATGATAAAATATATTGTTTGCAGATAACATAGCTAGTTGGTCAAAATATCCTGTATCTGAGAATACCTCGCATATTGAAGGTATGTATAAACATACATTTTCATTTGTTACTCAAAAGTAATATCTCCAATATATGTGTGTGTGTGTGTGTGTATACAAAGTATCCCGCCACTACCGCATTATCTCTTAAGGACGGATTCCTGAGATAATTTGAAGAAAAAAATCAATGCAAAGTATCGAGGCTATAATATTTTTCAAATTATAAACAATTAAAGTTGACCAATTATATTGGCTAAAGTATACGCGCTCAAGTACGGTACAACACACAATGAGTGCGTTCAGCGAACTCAACAATTGCACAACAGTTGAGCAATTCGTCAATGTAATTGGTAATCTAGATTTAGGGATCTAACAGTAAGAACCAATATCAACCAAAGCAATCGCTGATTGCTCACTGAGTGCTTTTTCCGCTGAACGCGCCCAATGATACAGGTGCATACATATAAGTGAGAATTTGCATAAGATATGAAATTAGTTGTAAATCCCTAAAATGTTTGACAGCTTACTGATTCTCATAAATGTATTATGTGATATTTTATTCATAACATTTTGACGAAATTGTTATTATTTGTAATATGTTTATTTAAATGATAGAAAAGACAGATTATTATTACATATATTGTTGTATGTATAGAACTTCCGTATCAAATATATCATATTTGGAAAAGGGACAACATGTACATGCACCTGTACCATTGTGTGGTGTACCGTACCTGAGCGTGTATACTTCAATCAGTATAATTAGTTAACTTTAATCGTTTATAATTTTGAAAAGTATTATAGCCTCGCCATTTTTGTGTTAAGACTTTTATTCAAATTACTTCAGGAATCTGTCTTTAAGAGATAATGCGGTAGTGACGGAACACTACTAGACACCCTGTATATATATTATCCAAGTTTGTTGATTTAATAAAAACGTAACGTTACAGTTCTATGTCCAAAGAAAGAAATTCACAATAATAATGACACTATTATAATTCACGAAAAAACATTTGACGCGCTAGGACCAGCGTGGGATCTGCACGCAACAGTGCCCGTATTTTTAGGGCTACTGGTATTTCCCTTGCTGAATTTTAATAGTACAACATTTTTTACAAAGTTTAATTCTCTCGGTGAGTGCCTAATATCAGTATTATGTATATTTATTTCCTTTATTTTTTTAAGCAGCAAAATGCAAACTTGGAAATTCCGTTAAGTTAAAAATCCTTATATTTTAATATTTTACAGGGACGGTATCAGTAATATATTTGATCGTTTTTGTTATGATAAAATCCACATCTTGGGGCGTGAATATGAATGGAACAGAATGGAAAACCAGTTGGGTAATACGACCGACGTTTCCGGCCCTTACAGGAATGTTATCGTTATCGTTCTTCATTCATAATATTATAATCAGTATAGTGAAAAATAATCGTAATCAAAAAAATAATGTAAGTTACCTCTATTTTAAGTTCCATTTTCTGATTGAAAATATTCGGTGCAAATTAAGTAGAAATAATTCCATTTTTAGGGGAGGGATTTAACTATAGCATATATTCTCGTCACTGTAACATATTTCATAATAGGTTTAATGTTTTACATATGCTTTCCTCTACCCAAATCATGCATAGAAGATGTAAGTATACATTCAAATATACAAAATTTTTTATGTATGTGTACACGTATGCGTATTATTATATTGTTGCAAGATTTTAAATTAGTTCATTTTATATTTTGCAGAACTTATTGAATAATTTTCAAAAATGGGATGGCCTTACCATAGGTGTTCGTATAGTACTACTTTTCCAGTTATTGACTGTTTATCCTTTGATTGCATACATGTTACGTATTCAATTGCTCTCATCGATATGTAAAACAATATGTAATAGAAGCTTAGTGCTTATTGTTAATCTCATATTAGTTTCCATATGTATTTTGTTTGCAACGTTTATGCCATATATTGGAACTATTACTCGATATACTGGTGCCATGAGTGGATTAATTTACGTTTTCACTTTACCAAGTTTACTACATTTGTCGATTTTAAAGAGACAAGGAAAATTAACTGTGTGCTCTTCGTTAATCCATTTGAGTATACCTGTTATTGGAATTATAAATCTTGTTGCTCAATTTTTTATTAGAGATAAGTGATAAAATAATTAAGTTATGATAGACTGTATAAATGCGCGCACGCATTTAGTCTCTTTTATAATATTTAAAATTGACTACTCAGTACGAACATAATGACGTCAAATGATGTTTTAATGACGTCTTAATGACATCTTTAATGTTAATAATACGTCATTAATATGTCATCCTGCTATTAGAGTATATCTAGTAAAAGTATGTTTTAAACTTTTACAACAAACAAAGTTAAAAAGAAAGTAAAAATAAACAAAAGTCAAGCAAAATGTAAAACAATTTATATATTAAATAATTTATTATTTATAAGAGCATCTTGTATTACCAAATTACTCATATAAATTCAAAGTATATTAAATTTAGGAAAATGTAAATACACATGATGTACCAAAATTAGTTTATTTAACGGATATTAAATAATATAATTTATTTAATATTTTAAGTATATGTAAAGATATAAATTTATATTTTTCTTATGTATGTGTGGCCATGGAACAAGTCCACTGGCCACATATTTTTCTTATGATTAACACAAAAATTCTTCATGCTGTATTTTATATTTTAACAAATATGTAGTATTAAATATACTTCAATTTTTTTTATTTTACCTCTATATTTTAAATTAACTACTAAGATCAATTTTTTTTATTTTACCTCTATATTTTAAATTAACTACTAAGATCAATTTTTTTTATTTTACCTCTATATTTTAAATTAACTACTAAGATCAATTTTTTTTATTTTACCTCTATATTTTAAATTAACTACTAAGATCAATTTAAGAATATCTTTGTTACCTCAATTTCATTCCTGAAGTATTCTGTAAACCCAAACAGTATCAACTCCATGTCCAATTGTCGTAATAGGGTGTATATTAGGAAGAGGAAATCTACATGCAATTACAAGTGAATCTTTACACAATTCACTATTAAACTTTCTTTCAATATCTTCCATCTGTGAAATTATTAGGACTTTTTAAAGATTGTGAAAGTAATATAATATAAGTGAATATATTATTGTGAAAGTAATATAATGCTGAAAATTATATTGTATATACCATTTGATCTACACCAAATATAACAATATTATTATATCTTTTCAGATTGTATTTCCATAAATCCTGCTTTAAAAAAACAGTATTTTTTGATAAACCATTTATAAGTGCTTTAAATCTCGAATACCATATTAGCCAGGTATTTAATTCAATGCCATGAGCTTTAAAACCCAGTTTTGCTGCTGCAAGAACCTATTGATGAATAAAAAATTTTGTTCTGCTATATTAGTAGTAAATTAAATAAAAATTTGTCTTATATAATCAAGATAACATAAGATCTGAAGAATCGTCCTGATATGTTTAAAATATGCCAGGAAGTGCTTTAAGACATTCTGAGTATATCTAGAATATCAGAACTTTCTGTATTATTTAGAGAAATTCTCATTTTAAAATTATACTTACTATACGTCCATCTCCACTTCCAAGATCAATTAAAGAGCCAGATCGACCATTTAATGCTTGAATAACATTTCTTATCTGTTGATGCGTAGCTGGTACATATGGTAAACATACCTTCCGAAATGCAGGACTTATAAATGGAAAACATATAACACTAATTGCTGTTGCAATTCCACCTAATAATGAACATGAAATTAATATACAAATTAGTACAAGAGATCATTAATATAAAATAACAAACCTGTAGCTGCAATTAAAAATAAGCCAATTTTTGATGATGATACTTTTTGTGATACATTATTTTCTTTGACAGGAAAGTATTCCATTTCATAACATACTTATCTATACAGAATTTCTTCTATTATAAAATAAATGTATGAACAAAAGTTATTTTAAATAAATTAGATATTATAAACTAAAAATATTACAATATCTTTTAAGATTTTATATCCTATATGGATCATTTATAGCTCCGAAATTCACTGTCAGTACCGAAAGGGTGCGTTCGGGGAGCACGCTACCTACTCTCTCTCTCTCTCTCTCCAATGAATGGCTTGGGCGTCGCAAAGATCTATGTCCTTATGGCTTCTGCACACAGGACGCGGTAATGCTTGCCGCGCGGCGGAAGTCTGCGCGACAGCCAATCAATATGTTGTTTTTCCGTAAGAGCTAGAAGGTTATTACGGAAAGCAGCATATTGATTGGCTGTCGCGCGAACTTCCGCCACGCGGCAAGCATTACCGCGTCGTATGTGCAGGAGCCATTACACCAAGTATGAATGAGTGGGTGGATCCGATTGACCACGATACGATTGGACACATTGTAATGATTGGTTCGACCTAGTAATTCACTAGATAATTCTTTTCATCGGTTAGTGTGTCCAATCGTACCGTGGTCAATTGGGACGCTCCCGAATGAGTAAGATCTTGGCAGGTTCCAAGGCAACTTCCAAAAAATCACCGGTCTAAACTTGATCAGACATGTTTTAACGTGCAGGCAATTAAACCGGAACTAGCACGCTACCAACTAGCGATGGGCAATTATCGATCAATGATTTGAAAATCGATGCTTTTTATACAAATAATCAATTATTTTTCCGATGTTTTTGAAAATTGATTAATTCCTACATCAATAGTGTTTTACTTCGATGTTACTAAATTTATTTCGATGTTTACTAGATTTTATTACTAGAGGTAAAGTTTAGAATACGCCCTTAAGTTACATATTGGGATGCGTTCAGATTCTTCATCCGGATGCACTCTATTGTATATGTTACATATACAGGGTATGGCGCCAAAATCCGGACAAATTATACATTTTTTCCAAACATATTTTTTATTGCAAAAACAAAAAGATTTACAAAATTTTTTTAACCATATTGTTTGTAAGGCCATAAAGAACACATTTACTCAATATATCCCCCGCTTGCTTGGGCTGCGTTCAGATTCCCCACCCGGGTGTATTCTATTACTAGAAGTGCTATAGTATATGTCACATATACTATATTGTTTCTAGTAATAGAGTGCACCCGGATGAGGAATCTGAACGCACCCTTGAATGATCGCCTCCATTCTCGGTCTGAAGCGTGCGCAGGCGCGCTTTAATGTGTCACGGTTCATATCGGTGAATGCCGCTTCAATAGCGGCTCTCAATGATGCGACGTTTGGATGTCTGAACTTATTCATGACCCTTTCAACTACGCTCCACACATAGAAGTCCAAAGGATTCAAATCTGGGCTGTTGGGAGGCCAGAATTCTTTCGACCAAAATATGTCGACGTTGTCCGACAACCAATTTTGCACCAAATGACTTGTGTGGGCGGGCGCACCGTCCTGCTGGAAAACATACGGCTTTCCAGACGACACAGGTTACGTTCAGAAAACATAGCTGATCAGTGAGCGGTTAGTGATTATTGGTCCTTACTGTTAGATCTCTAACTTTAGATCAATTACATTGACGAATTGCTCAACTGTTGTGCAACTGTTGAGTTCGCTGAACGCATCCACAGTTTCCATCCACGGCTTCACTACATTTGTCAGAACACGTAAATAAACTTCTTTTGTGACATTTTTCCCTTTGTTAAAGAAATGACATCACACTCACTGGATGATGTTGCAAAACCTTCGTTGGAATTCTCCGACTCATTGTACTTTGCGATGACATCATACACAGTCGATTTCGAGTACCCGAAGAACCGAATGATTTCTGTCGCCGAGCGCCCAGCGCAAACACTTTCGATAATCGCGGCTTTTCGGTTATACTCCGCACTTGGTTTCAACATTGCGACTGTTTCGAGGTTATGATGGTTTAGTACATACGTCAAGCTATTTGAACGCTAATTGCGACATCTACCAGTGGTATAGAACGGCGAGAATTTCAAATTGAATTTTGTCCTGATTTTGGCGCCGTACCCTGTACTATAGCACTTCTAGTAATAGAATACACCCGGGTGTGGAATCTGAACGCAACCTTGGGTGTTTCTGATAATAGGTTTGTTCTTTCGACCTGAACTGGCTGCACTAGTTCACGAAGTTTGCACTAATGCGTTCTTTCGATCAGAACAGTGCAAGAAAATGTGTTCTTTCGAACAGTGCAGGCTGAACTAGTACAGCGAGTTCAGTGAACTGACTGCCTTAGGTCTGGAGGTAGAGCAAGCAGTGCAGGGCAGCTAACCGAAAAAATTTAAATTTGTATCTATAACCTGTAAAATCGGTATACCTAGTTGACATTACGTAGAAGAAATAATCCGACGACGGAATCTATAAACAGTAAGTAAATACTTAAATATATAATAAATATATAATGTAGATAAATATATAATAAATATATAATGTAGAATGACATAAAAGAAGTATTTAGAATGTTATCCAAACAGCACAAAATATCCGAAAGACATCCTGGGAAGGCTCTTGGACGTTTTTTCGGAGGGATTTGTTGTATGGGTATCCAACACAAAACAGTTTTTAAAAGAAATAGGATTGTTCAACAAAACATAAAATGCTATAAGTGCGAAAACATGACCATAAATTGATCTATGTTATTTAATCCAGCCATGTTGTCCGCCATCTTACACTGCTCTAACTTGCTCTTACCCGTTCTTTTCAGACCCATATGTATCTTTGCACTGGTCTGCACTATCTTGAACTTTCTTCAACTAGTACAGTTCCAGTGCAGCCCTAGGTCAGGTCGAAAGAACAAACCTAATACCTCTCCGAGTCATTTCCCTAGAGCAGAAATAAGTTACAGACATCATCATCTACTACTATTACGTGATTCTTGACAACCCAAAGCTACTTAATGCTGGCTTGGTTTAAATCGTGCACTTGATACGCGTTGTGGCTTCTGCACACAGAACGCGGTAATGCTTGCCGCGCGGCGGAAGTTCGCCAATCAATATGTTGTTTTTCCGTAGAAGCTAGAAGGTTATTATGGAAAGCAGCATATTGATTGGCTGTCGCGCGAA